TTAAAAAAATATTGTTATTTTTATAATATATTTTTATTTTAAAAGCAAGATAGTGATGTAAAGGGGGTACAGAAAAAAAAGAAGGGGGTCATACAGGGATTGTGGAACAGATTATAGTTTTCAAAGATTATTATACTTACAGGATATACTAAACAAGGAAATAAAGAAATACTTCTACCCAACATCCCCTTCCGAATGGTGGAGGCACTTCTCTAGAACATTCCACATGCTCTGGGTTGGCGCCTTGGTGTGTCACTCACAGGGCGTCTCTCTCCATTTGCTGTGCTGCCACCCTTTTGCCCTCAGTTTCCTTCGAGCCGTAGGCCGGGCTGGGTGCTCCATTGGCCAGACACCCTCACTTGGCCTGCAGGCCCCAGATGGGGCCATGCCACCACTGCCTGGAAAGGCACCGGGGGTGGCCCGTTCCCTCACACCTCCACCGTGTGGTCTGCAGATGAGGGGAGATGGTGCTGTGCCACCGCGCCTGAGGCCGGCCAGGGAGCCAGGCCCAGCCTGTCCTGTCGCCCCATGGTGGGGATGGATGAGGCCAGGCGGCTTGGCCCGCCAGGGCCTCGAGCGCGCAGAGGGAGGACTGAGGAGAGGGGTCCGGGGAAGGAGACGCGGGCCCACAGCCGCCCGCCCGAGCTGCCACCCATTGCAGGGAGATGGACGAGCCCGGTCCGCTTGCCCCGCTGGGGCCAGGCTAGCGCCCCGTTGTCTTCAGTTCCACAAAGGGCATTCTTCCTAGTTAATACATATTTTGTATTACATATTTCATCAATACTATGTACTAGCTATAATTTTTAATTTACCAAATTGTGAAGGAAAATCTATTATCTGTATTGCAATAAAAAATAAAAGGTTAGAAATATTTTGTTCAAAATCCACTCTTTTATAAATTTATATTCAGAACTTTTTCTCCTTTTCCTGCATTTGTATGCCTTACAGTACATTTATAGACCATTTTTAGAATTTCGCATTCTAAGCTTGTCCCTTGACATTCATTATTGTGCGTCCAGGGAGGTTGAAATGCTCCCCTTACTGATTTCTGGGTATTTTTCTTTTTACAGTGCAATCCTAAACAGAGTTATACCTTTCCAATTTGGCTAATGTAAATGGCAGAAGGGTATTGCTGGAGCACAATAATATTATGTTAGAGAATGAGCCCTTGAAGATATGGCTGTTGTGGTTAGGGCCTGTAATTGTGCCGCTTGAATGGATGTGGGGAAAGGACTGGCTGGGATTTGATGTACAGTTTTATGTCCATGAGGTAATCCATCACTGCTGGGCAGTAGATGCTTCAAGTTGTCTGCAGTCAGCCTACTCCCCCCCCCCCCCACCCCCCCCCCCCCCCCCCCCCGCTTGTGAGAGAAAATAATAATCTTCTAGGATAATTGTGTTGTATTTACCTATATATCTAATAGCCAAGTCTGTGCCAATCTGTGGGTATCTAAATCTGCAGATCAGGGCCACACCGACACTAAACAAACTTTCCTGCTAACTTAGAGAACTCTACAGGTTTGAAGAAAAATCTGGAAACACTGAAAAATACATTGAGGATTTAACCCCCTCCCCATGACCTACCTACCTCCTCCATCAATGCAAGGCTCTCAGATCCACCCCCTTCATCCCTGCATTCAGGGAAACTCCTCACTGTCAAGCCTGCCTCCCCCTCCCCACTGGATCCACTGCCTCCAAAGCCAGGTGTCCCTCCACAGCTGCCAGCCTCCAACACTACCAGGCCCACCTCTCCCCCAACTTCACTGGAGCCACCGCAGAAATCAGGTGGCCTGCTGGGGCTGCTGGACCTCCAGGAGCTCCCCGCCTCCCCGCCACCGG